GATCTTGGGGAAGGAGATGGGAGGCGCGTCGCAGGGCGCGACCCCGCTGGCGGCGGAGGGGCTCCCCGGTGGCGCCCCGCGGGGATGGGCCGAGCGCCGTGTGAAGGGAAGCTGCTACAAGTGTACTTGAAATTGCTCATGTACACGGACCTCTAAAATTAGACGTTTAGTTTTAACGTTAGACATCACTTGTGTTTTACTAGCTTTTATTTTTTTCTTCTATTTTCCTGTATTTTAATGTAATGTATGTAATTTCATTTATACTTTTTCTTAACTACCCTCTGTAGTCGTTACCCAGTTACTCAATTGTAAGATGTTTTGAAACCTTTAACTCCTTGCCTAGTAAAGATAAGATTTTTCAGACACGGACAGTCTGAAAAAACTCCTGAGTACATCTCTAATAGCAGGAACCTGAAGAAAACAAGTGTCTAAGACGCCAGTACCAAGATAAGTGACTGAAAGCTGGAACAAAGGAGCTTAAGGACTGATGAAGTAACTCTGTTATCATGTATGGACACTAGAAACCTGAAGTTCACTAACGGACAGTGTGAGAAAGGCTATGTGGACCCCTACGGAGGTGAGAAGACCCTCATTCTATTTTTACCACGCATGCTCTATGTAAATTAATTCTAAGAATCCCTTAGCATAAGACTGCCTTTTCTAGAAATCTAATGCATATGTATGCTTTCTGTGTATATTAGAGAGTTTTGTTAGTAAGCATGGCATTTGTAGTGGAGCCATCCCCAGTGCTGCCCAGCGCTGCCAATAAAGAACATGTGCTTAACAGTTATACTCAATCCAGACTGCTGAGTGAATCTTTGTTTCAGGGAAGCGGCCGCCCTTCCCCTGCAGCAGAGCCTGGGATGGGTTTGACAAAACACTAACAATACACTCTCAGAGTAACACAAATTTTTAAATATGGCATGTACAGAAAGTCACAATCCACAGAACCAGAATTCCTAAAAGACTTGCAATGTCTTACTGATTCTAACATAGAAGCTGAAAAAAAGACATTCTCCAGAAGAGCCACAGAAGAGCTGTCAAATAATTTGGTACAGGAGATACAGCTTAAATGGAACACAGTCAGATACACAGCAGATCATCCACACAAATGGCAGCTTCTTCTCAGCAACTTCTTCCTGCATGTCAGAAATGTGAAACTCTGGGTCTTAGAAAAAAATTCTCAGAAACTGTCATAAAAAGCTTCTCTGACCCAGGTATTTGTTACAGGAGTCAATGGTACTTCTTACGCAGAGTTGAAAGGGGAAATCAGCCAGACAGCATACTCCCATCTACAACTGTTAGTGCTGTAACGTCCTCTTGAACTAACTCCTTTTCTGGGTAATGAGTTGGCAACCACTGTAAGACATTAAGTATGTAGCAGTACAGAATAAACTAGATTTAGGACTTGGTCACAGCCATGTAGGTGGCTGAGGAAAATCATGCAACTTCAGTCTGGTACAACACACCACAGAATCTCTTGCCTCATGGGGTACACCTTCTGAGCAACTGGAAGGCATCATCTGTATTCTGCCAATGCTCTTTTCCCTCTTCCGTATATACAGAACATACAGAAGTACAAGAAATTTTTATTTTAGTTATCAGAAAGCAAAAACAAAGTTCAGTGCCATGGAGCAGTGAGTCTGATAGCCTTGTTCCAAGCACTGATCATGCAGGAGCAGAGGAGGAGTGGCTTGTTTTATCTTGTTCAACAGCAGGTTCTGAAAACTATTTTGTCAGACTGTGACCGAATTTCACCAGCATGTCACTTTTTATGTTCCTGTGCTAACACCCTAAACTCATGATAGATCCAGAATTAATTCTTTTCCCCTTCTGGCTATTTAATGGAAGTTTGATATCATTCATATCTGCAATACCTGTACAACTTGATGCAACACTGCCCAGCATCCAGTCACTTCCCAGACTCAAATTTTAAGTGCACAGTACGTCAAGAACAGACCATAACTATCGTGTACCGACTTCAGTGCTACTTTTGACCACGCAGCAAGTACACACCACTCTTGAAAGAGGTATCAAGGCAATAAATACTGCTTAATGAATTACAGCATGAGTACTGCTATGGTTTAAGAAGCTACTGAGGGTTAAGAAATCGGTGTAGAAAATCAGTATCTGACATCCATGAATGCTGCGTGACACATGCCATGTGCCAACATTTTGGTTATCAGAAGGCTGATTTAGCAACTTCTGACCCAAGTAGCCAGACCTAAAAGACTCCCTTCTTTAATCACTGCAAGTGCTATTTACAGAGCGTCTACAGTTTTCCAAATAGTGTTGCTTCATCATTTATTAAGGAAGGGGACATGGATTTTATTTACTGTGTCATGCACTAAGGTGAAGAACATGCATGCTTCATAACCCCCAAACCAAACCTACATTGTCACATACCTATCAGAAACAGAATAGATTCTATTGCTAATATTGTAAGTAAGTATTGTATTTGGCATCACCCAACCCCAAAACAACCAACCCACAAAACCCCACCACTATTATTCTTACTTTCTTTCTCCCTTTTCTCCTGTTTTCTTCTTTCTCATTCCAGTATTGATGCTGTATTTCTCCTCCAAATCTTCTTTTCCCTATTTGTTCTTCTCTTGGTTCTCCCTATCATTCCCCTTCTTGTTTCTGCTTGAAATTTCTGTATTACTTTCCCTCATCTCTCTGCCTCCTCTTTCTTCCATTCTCCCTGCTTTTGGTCTGTAGGGCAGCAGAAGTGCTCATCACATGCAAAAGCTAGTAAGGAAAATGGGAAAAAGTGAAGTTAATTTGTGAAACCACATTTATTAACATCACATAGGTATATATGATAAATAGGAATCACATCTTATTTCTACCACCACAGAATACATACTTGTTTCAACATTTGCTTAATTTACCAGCCACTATAGGAAGTAACTTCTAATATTCCAAATCTGTCATTTTATAATTCTTCTCTTACCCCATGAACATGAACAAGGTAGAGTTTCAAAATTACACTTGTGCTTTACTTTATTGGAAGACAGTCAGTTATTAAATATTTAGGGTTAAAATGAATGCTATTTTTATTACCTATCACATATAGTACAGACCCTTCTGCTGATACAATGCAGTAAGCTCTCTACTTGAGTGTGTGGAATACATATGAACATAATTAAGACATAAAGTATTTTAAATTTTGTATTTAGTATTTTAAAGCCAGAAGCATTATGGCCCTAGTTTAAAGAAAAGGACCAGTTTAGTAAATCCTTTCTTAGAGAACACTAAACTGAAAGGAAGACCTGCCCCCTCTCTCTGCCCCACTGTGATGCATTTATTTCCACACCAATAGGATCATGAAACTGGATTTAGTATTCTTACTTTAATGCTTATAGAAAATAAGCTTTTAGAGAATTTCTGAATTTTGAAAAAAATTATATTTGATTTTTCCCCTTATGCCTGTGCCTACATCAAATTACAGTAACACAAATAACACATGTACCCACAGTTAAACATAAAATTTGGGGTTATATTTCCCAATTCAAAGCTATTAAAAAGTTTCCATATACTTTATTAAAGAGGACACCATAGCTTCTGAAGTGGAAAGAGAAAAATATGGAATGCATAGACTTGCAATACAGGTGAATTATATTGTTGAATTGTGCAAAAATTTCTTCACATCACAACCGTGTACGGAACTTTCCAGAATTAACATGCAAATAAAACTGAATACAAAATTTTAAAAAAGGTAACGAGTGAAGATTTAATCACAATGATATAAAACGTACTTTATATATTATATAAAATAGTACATTAATATAAATAAATACATATTTCAATCTTAACATTTTGCACGTATAGTGAAAGACTATAGGATAAAACTTGTTCAGTGGGTTTCTCCTCTTTGTATACTCCTAACAATCCTCATCAATCAGCAGTTTAGGAACTTCTTAAGCCAGGAAGAGACTGGGTCTACATCACATAACAAGGAAAGACTCCTGAGCACTTTTTAGACTTCAATATCTACTTTTTGACAAATAAAAGTGCATTTTACTCTCAATTACAGAAACTACTTGAAAACTTTTTTTTTTTTTTCCCCCCAAGTGAAACCTAAGAAGCCTGGTTTTAAAAAAGAAGTTAATAAAAACGTCAAGCCAACACCTAAGATGTACAACACAATATCAAGGAATAAAAAAAGGCACTGCTACCAGTTTACTGGCCAAGCTCTCCTAATTATCAGTAATATACTAATGTATACTGATAGTATACCACTATAGTATCAATAGGCTAGCTGCCTGTTACATTTGGTCTACAATGAAAAGCATTGTAGGTGAAGTTATATATGTAAGCACATATGCTTTTTACTCAAATCAAATGCAGCTACACTAGCAAAAAATCTTTTTGCAGTGTATTTGCTCAAGGAACTCGCATACCCTGTATTAGCAAAAACTCCTTTCCTTTCTGCTCACATGAAACACATGCCAGAAGGATGTATGGTGTAATGACACCAGAAACCCAGCAAGGCACACCAAGGCCTTGAATTCTTTCCTGAACAGGAGACTGTATTACAAGTATTAGAAGTACACCAGTGGCCTACTTTAGGAGGGAAGAGAATGCCATAAATTCAGTTACAATAAATTTCAATACAACTCATCCAGGTTACACTGTTATACAACAAGCAGCTTAACTCAACTCTTTAGGTTAGGCATCTGCTCCACTTATTTAGGACGATTTTAACTCATGTCTTTTTCAGAAGAGTAAGGGCAACTTGGAAAAAAAAAAACCAAACCACAATTGATAAAGATGCACCCTTTTTCTTAAGCAAAAGAAATGAAGGTGCAGTGTTTAATTTAAACCCATCTTAAGAGCCAGTGGCTGCTACAGGACATTTAAGTTCAAATATGATAAAAGTGTACTTTTACAACTATGCATGGTGCAGCAAATGTGAATCATGTTTCACCTTCCACAAAACATCTGCCAAAATCCCACATTTTTTAACTGTCTGGTAGATTACTGTAAAGCCCTGCCACAGTTAGCCCAAAACATGGCAGAATGTCTCATTTATTAACATATAACCATTGTGTGCTGTGGATAGTACTGACAACACAGGGTTCTGGGTGAATCACCACCTGTAATGCAGCAGGCAGATGGAATCCAAATTATTTATAAGATCATCTTTCTCCTCCTTCTGTTTTGCTAGTCTGTGGAGGCACACAAGTCAGAACTTGCTAATGAAGAACTGGCATTGCTGTGTAGACATTTTCATGACACATTTTCCATTATTAGGTGCTGAGGAGAGTACCCAGTGAATTTCAGTGGTTTGCACTGGCTTATACTTGTTCTAAGCATCAACAGAAGAACCTAGATAGGTGCACTGCTAATAGGTATGCTAAAAAACCACCAATGAAACAATAAAAACGCAAAGCCCTGGAAAACCCATGAGCTATACAGTTTAGAGCTCCTTCCACCCTGTTTACCTGTTGTACTTGGTTGTAGGTCTGTTGCAGTGCTATATACGATAGCTGCCATTCTCATCCAAGCTTTCAGATACATTATCAATAAGGAATTGGCCTCAACACATAAAAGTGCTTCTAAATCCCTGGGTTTGGAAGCAACAGGCACTTTAGATACACATGCAACAACACTGCATAAACTAAAAGTATGTGTGAAACTGTCTGCATCATAGTGTTTCTTGTTAGCCACTTCAGACATGTCCTTTCCAACAGCAGTTAAGTGGGAGAAAGAAAAAGTTTCTTCCTCAGTGTGTGCTGGAGCAGAAGTGAGTATTGTTGGCTTGGGTCAGTGGTCTTATTCCATTCATAGACTTTTCTGTTCAGTTCTGTGTGGATATCTAATATAGAGAGTTTCCTGCAGCAACAAAAATAAAAGCTTTCTATTAGAGAATGAAGCAAGACACCATTTAAGAATCCACAAGAGATAACACGCCTTTAGACTCAGCAAGGAGAAAGTTTCAAATTTCTCTATTTATTGCAGAGGTTACACCTCTAAAACCCAAGGCTGAACATACATTTTGGGAGACAACCTGTTATAACCCAAATCACTGTTGTGATATTGGCTATGCTGACATGATGATCTCTGATTTCATTACAAGGTTTTAGGGTTAATGTTAACCCCACAGCTACCTTGAAAAACAGTTGTTAGCTCCCTGGTAGATCAGTTGTACAAAGAAACCTTTATTGGTAAGTTATATACCCAACATACCTGATTTTAGCAGAGATTACTTTTGATAATCTCTTTGGAGAGACTAAAGTTTTCTGGTAGTTTAAATTCAAGATTACAAATTGACAAACTAGTGGCTCTCTGAGCAGAGGGTTAATTAGATCTAAAGAAAAGACAAAATCCTTCCCTCTTAACTGCCTTTTCCCTGAACCTAGGCACTAACATTTTATATTTACAAGTAGAGCCCTTGTTAATGATAAAAGGCAATCCTCAATTTGACAGAAGCCTGGCGTGTGCCCTGTTATGTTGGAGAAGGAAGATTTCCAATCCTGTGTAAAGCACTGACGTATGTTACCAGGACAGCTTCTTCCCTTTTCATTCTGCAAGCCCCAGTGCCATAACATACTTTACTTTTACCCTCCAGAATCAGCAACTTCACTTTACTCTGCCTTCCTGTGCTATCACTCCAGGATCAGGTATACCTGTCTTGTAACCTATGACACAGCATGAAGATAATTTACAGGACCAGACGGCATGAAACAAGGTTTCTCTATCTCTATGACATCAGGCTATCAAAGAAAAAGGGTTATTTTTATGTCTTTTTTAAAATTTACCTTTTATGAGGATTGCGGAGTAGCTCAGCCAGACAACGCAGATAATATGAGGATGAAGTTGGAGATTTTTCTAGTGTAGACACATCTACCTTGCACTGACTCCAAAAGATGTCTGCTACTTGGGGGATAGTGACTTTCCAAGGGATTTTTGTGTTAGCAATGATTTTCTCATCATCCCCATCTATTTCCAACAGACTAGTATGTTCTTGGTCATTTTCTGGCACAATGTAGCTCTGAATAAAAAAAAGCTTCGGTTTTCCTAGGAGTTCAGGACATGAGTCTGCTGTAAAGTATTTCTTTATCTGTTCCAAAGGGAATCCAGAAAAGGTATGGTCTGTACAGAAGATGCTCTGAGGACTTCCACGGCTGACCAATATACAAATGAAGCTGTCACAATTTCTGTGCTTCTGCAACCTTGCAACTTCAAGCAATGTTTGATTCATGGTGTTCATATTTAAGTATCTGTGACAATGAACGTCATAGCCTAAGCCTCTGAAGGTCTCTTCCAACACATCTGAAAAAAGAGGTAATTAAATCACAGCATACCAAGGCTCAATCTCAACTATCTTGAATTACAGTATTTACAGTATTTCGCTACTGGAAATTAGACATTTATTTAATCACAATAAAAAAATGGGAGTACTTGATGTTGATCACAGTACATTACATACTTGTACTGCTATATGCATGCTGTCTTTAATATTCATGATAGCAAAACCACTATTATTTGACACATGATCTGTTCCAAATTCCACAGACACCTAGATGCTTTCATTTAAAGCCAGTATCCCAAGTTCCTAGGACTTAAAATATCAGGCAAGAGAAAACATTAGAAAATGCTTCATACAGAACATTCTTGAAATGGTAAGGAGTGGTCTGGATAGCACGGTAAGTCTGTTTCACCTTTTAATTTGTCAAAATTACTCTGAAAGGTTATTACAGATACAGAACTGCATAGGAAATGCAGAGTCTGCCTTTCATCCGTCAAAAAGCAACCCGCTGCAGTCATTTATGCTTCCCATTATATGAAATGGACTGTAAGTGATGAGTTCCAGGTGGAGAATGCACACTGGAGTTTTAACTGTGACAAAATGGCATTTTCAGAGGAAAAAAAAACCCTGAACAATGAACCCTTTCAAATGTGTTAGAAATTAAAACTGCAGGTAGCCAAAAATCAAGATTTAAGTCTACTGTATTTGTATTAACCTGTGCTGCAGGAATAAGTGCTATGCTCTGAGTAACTACTTTGAATGTTTATTAATTTGGGAATGAAACCAGATACATGGTGGTTTAAAACCACAGGTATTTTTTAAGTGTTTAGAGAACCACAAGCTACTACTATGATTCATACCCATAGCATCATATCTTTACCATAAACCACATATACATTGCCCATGCACAGTTTCTGATGTGACAGGAAATCTCGTGCTATGTTTATGTAAAATGCCTTACAGACACAGGAAGCTAGACTGTTCCTTTACTTCAAAAGTTTAACAATCCCTATTTAGCAGAGGCTAATTCAGATGTAACTGTTAGCAAAGCAGGAGCTGTACTAGCACACTGAGCTCCTCAAAAAGCTCACACTTAGAACAAGGAACAGAACTTGTAACTTTTCTCAGCAAAATACAGGGTAGATACAAACTCTATACTACAGTGAGGTGATAAACAGGAACTATAGAGTTTCATTCAATTTCTGTTGGTTTGTCTGAATTTTGTAAATAATTAAAAAACTTTCCAGGCATATTTTTATTTGGAAACAGAAAGGAAAATCCCCTCTATTTTAGGCAATAAAACATGCTCTCAAAATTCAGGCAGAAGATTCAGTAGTAATACCGTTTAGCAGTTTTATACTCGATGAAGTCATTAGAGGGCAGCAGTACATACGCAAATCAAGAGAGCAACGAGAGTGCTTTTCCTGTAATTGTTTCACTACCATGTACATATACACACATACAGATACAAAAACTGGTGTCACCGTAGACCATACACACACTCTGGGTGTCACAATTAAAAAAAATATTTAAACAAAAAAAAATTCAGCGCTGATACCTGTGTCTAACAATGAATCAGAAATTATGCATGGTAAACTTTGGATACAGTTATTTTACTTTAAGGCAAGACAAAACACATCATTACATGCTGCAACCTGAGATCAGAAAACATGTGTTTCTTCAACAGTAATCACCTCCAGATGAAACACCACTGAATTTTGAGCATTTGCACTCTACATAAAAAAATTACCCTTTTCTCCCCTTGTTTACAACATAAGGATAAAAACTGGCTTCCAAATGGCGAAGTCAAAAGCAGCTATTTACAAAACAACAAGGTGCATTTCAGTTTGCATTTTATAAGCACTTGATGAATTCACATTGTTTATACTGGGCATTTTCAACTGTTGTAAATCCTTGAACCTACTGCATCTATTATTGGTTCAGTTGCCTCAGACTACATCTTGGGATAGCTACCGACCCTAACGCACACCATAGATAGAATTCCTAACATTCTTCCTGCACTCTTCTCTTTCTTTGGTATTTTCAGACTTCGGATGTAGTGTTGCACAACAACTCTACAGAGTACTGACTGCCTTTCTAACAAACTTTTTAAAGCAATGCCATATGTCTTGCTTCTCTTGAATCTCACTATAGTATCTCACTTTCCTGAATCCTGATACAGTAACGTATTTTGGTGAAAGTCTTGCTTTATATTATGTTAAAATGCTGATGATGTACTGGTGCCATTAAACATATGAGACACACACATGATTTAATCGCTTCTGCATCCAATGCAGACACTCATGGAGACTGAGGCACACTAAGACTTGCTTTGGGTGGTTCTGACACAACAGCAACAGAACCATGATTTGCAGGTGTATCCGATATGCCAGATGCTAAACATGTAACCCATTTTTGTCCTTTCCAGTCAGCAGACTTCCTCTATCACATTTACACTTTCAGTTCTTGTACAAGTACTGAAATGACCATGTGAGCTCATGAAGAGCATGCACACTGATTTTTTAAATTTCTTTTGTGCACATCTTTTGTATTTAGTAGCAATTACTAAGACTAAGGTGTCTGCACAGTGTATTGTCTGTGCAAAAGACCTGTGCCTTCTAAGGAAGAGTAGAACTAAATTTATGTATGTGACTATGAACTATGTGATGTAGCAGTTCCTTCTTTACTTCATTTTTTTTTCTCCAGTGTATGTACCTTACCTGCTTTTACACTTACTATTTTATTTAAAAAACTCAAACCTGGCATAGTAAAACACTCTTGTTCAGTCAGGTCAGCACATGCTCATATCCCATTAGAGAAATGAAATTTTATTAAAGAGGGTTTTTTTTGTAAACAAGGCTATTTTCACACCTCATGGTTTTTTTAGTTCTCCACACTAAAATTCCTCTAGCAATCTTTTTTGCATTTGCTTTTAAGAAACAGAACTCCAAGCAGTAAGTAACTGTTTTGGTACTGGAGCAGATTATCATGCTACCTTCCAGATTAAGGCTGACTAATAAGATTTTTGCATCAAAAGGGTTGTTTGCTCTCTAAAGCTACCATAAGAGAAAAACAGGAAAGTAAAGAAGCAGGCAACAGGACAGAGCAGAATGTTTGATCCTAAGAGACGCCTCCACCCCAGTCTTTCAGTTCTTGGCAGTCTCTCTTAGCTTTATTTTCCTCTTGAGGCAAAGTCAGCTTTTTCTTTTTTTTAGAGTAGAAATGAAGAAGTGCTTTAGAGTGAACAATTTAATTTCTACATTCAAGCAATTGCATTCCCCCCC